CGAGTCTGCCGAGGTTTCTCAGAGAGCAAACAATTACCATGATTGGTTCCCTTCCAAAAACCTGACCTTCGAAACCTTGCTCTGATTGGCCACTAGAATCCCTCAAATCTGCATATCCGGCACCTCATGATTGGCCCAAAAGCAACCAATCATAACCCACCGTTAACAACCAATCAGGGCCCACCGTTTACAACCCACCAGAGTGTATATAACCACGATGCCTGGCCCACAGTAGCCAGACGACACAGACGACGACGACGACGACCAGGAAGACGACAACTGAAGAGCCTGAAGAGCTGAAACACCGCGCAGTCTCCAGACGACCCTGAAGATCCTGAAGAGCTGACTCTGCATCGTCTCCAGACGAACTGGGAGACCCTGAAGAGTTGTAACACTACATCGTCTCCGGACGACCCTGAAGAGCTGTGATACCACGTCGTCTCCGTGCTGCTAACAGTAGACGACTCGACCCTTAAGAGCTGTGACACCGCATCGTCTCTGTGCTGTACCGTGCTGCCCACAATAAACAGACGACACTGTCGTCTCCGTGCTGTAACACTACGCTGCTTGCCCCGGCTCTCACTCCTTCACTCAGGAAACCCGTTCGGCTGTCCCCCCGGGTCGGGACATGTGTTGACAATAACACATATGTTGATGTGCTTTATTGAGCTAATATGCAGTGTACTGTGAATGGAAAAATTTCATTTTGTATGCTATAATGATGTACAGTGAATGAATGTAAATAAATAAATAAATATAAATAAATAAATAAATTTAAAAAAAGAAGTTAGAGAAGAATTATAAGTAAAAGACAATTTCATAATTTCTAAGTAATTCTTATAAAGAAATGAACTACCATTAAGAATGCATTTCTTTGGATCATTTAATTAGACAATTATGATGCATGTAAAAAACTAGTTCATTTTAATATTTAAAAACTTTTATTGAGCCATTGTTGAGCATTTCATTGAGCATTCAAACTCTATGCTAAATACTGAGTATATAAGACTGGTATGATTCCTACCTTCATGTACTTTATAGTCTAGTGGCTGGTATGCAATATTTTTATCAGTTTACTGAACATAACTGAGAATAAGACAAAGAGTAGGGGAAGATATAAAAACATAATCATATAAGAAAAGAAAATAATGTCAGGTACAGAAAGTTCTAAGAACTAAGAGAATGTGTAAAGAATGACTAGGCGAATTGGTTTAGTTAGGTTGATTAAGAAAGACTTTTCTGTATATTTTAAAGTTGAGACTTAAATGATAAGAAAGGAGGCAGCAATTTCAAATAAATCACAAAGCAATGATTTAAGCCTGGAAAGTATGGCTCCAAACCCAGAAAGATCAAGATTGGTGTAGCTTTGCAAGTCAGAATAAGAACAGAGAGAAATAAATGAAAATGTCAATAGAAGCCACGACACAGGATTGCTTGTAGGCCATGGTAAAGAATCTGGATTCTATGCTGAATGTAACAGGAGCAATGGGAAGATTTTAAGTGGGAAAGTTACAAAAATCTGATTTCTGGATCATAATGTGACTGCTGTGTCAACAATCAACTAATTATCAGATGGTAAAAAGAAGGCAGAGAACCACATTAGGAGACCATTATAGTAGTCCAGGCTAAAGATGACAGAGATTTATGATGTAGCCTTGAAAAATGGGCGTATCTAGAATTTATATAAACTCTGAAGGTTGAGTCAAGAGGATTTACTGATGGATTGAATCTGGGGTGTGAGGAAAAAAAAATAAAAAAACAAGAATGACTTAAATTTTAGTCATCATAACCACACTTTTAGGGAACTACTCAAATCAACTGACTAGGAAGTCTCATCTCAAGCACAAGTTTTTATTTTTTAAGAATTTGGTTTCTATGGGAACAAAGGAAGTGAGAAGGATATATAAACCTGCCATTTACTACAGAAATTAATAGTGAAATTGTGTGCTGAATAGGTGAGAAGTCTATGGAAGCATTAGAGTTATTCAGATAATTCAATAGGTACAATATCTGATTTATAATCTAAGGTTCTTTGGTTCAAGTCTGAAAAATCTTCTCAATTCCTCCTTTTCACTGTAATATGAAGTCCTAGAGGTTAGTTATTCTATCAGTTACATCTCTAACATAGCAGGAACTCAAGCAATAGTTGACAATGGTAATGATAAACAGTAATGGCATGTGAAACATAACAACATGTACTAAATATAAAACACTTTGTAATAATTAGCAGGCTTAGTTATTGGCTTTCTATGCTATAAGAACACAGGATAATATAAAAAGTCAATGACAGAATAATGGGTGTGATGTGTATTAATATGTACATGTTTAGAAGTGGATGTAATAGGTATATCTAACTATAGTTTTGATTTGTATTTTCCTAATAACTAGCATTGTTGAGTAACTGGTTGTCTAGTTATAGACCATTTGTTTACTGTCTTTGGAGAAGTCTATTAAAGTCCTTTTACTCAATTTTTAATTGGATTATTTGCTTTTTTTTTTAAAGGTTTTTGCCATAGTGCTTGCAAGAAAGATAGACACATTGATAAGGAAAGAGAGAAATCATACCCTTGGGGAGATGGCCATGCCACAATTCCTTCTCTTACATTCTTTTTATGGGATTTTGGGCACACACACACACATGTGCCTGGCATGACTTTCAAGCCACTGTATTTGGAACTTGAACTGCAGTCAGCCACGTGGGAATCCAGCTCCTTAATCACCACACTGCCTGCTGGCCCTTACAAATACCTTCATTTTATATATAAGAAAGTATTCTAAAGAATTACTTATTAATTTATTTATTGCTATTATTACCATTTTTAATTCACCAAAGAGAGACACAGAGAGAGAAGGAAAGTGAAAAAGAAAGCCTCCAGGTTCGGGACTCAAACCATGGTCAGCTATACACATACATGTACATGTACACGTAGAAGGAGTCCAGTGCCTTAACCACCACGTCACCTGCTGACCCCAAAAATACCTTTTTAAAACCTGATTTTGGTGAAACAGCTGAGCAGATCAACAACAATAGCACATTGATTAAAATTTTTTACTCAATATTTCTCCATAAAACAATTCAGAATATTATAATGTAACTATTCATAGAAAATATGACATAAACACTCCAATACATTTGATAAGAAAAATGTAAGATCTTACCTACAATCTTGATTATTAATTAATAATTCAAGATTTTGAGCTGATGATGAATCTATCATGGCTGTCTGTTCACTACCCTGGAAACAAACCTTCAGAGATTTTGGTGCATAAACTGAATTTTGAATAAATTCAACGTATTTTAACAAAGCTGCAACAGCTGCAAGGCAGTAATACCTATAAGTTGACCAATGATATACAACATTGTAAGTCTTTAGAATTAAAATTAAAAAGTGCTATAAAAGGAAACATCTATTTCCCCTTAATTATAGAAAAATTCTAAATATTTGCAGAGCATCATTTAAATTCAAAGTGTAAAGGTATTCCAAGTGTTCCGTATATTTGAAAACTTGGTTAATAACCTCTAAATAAAAACTGACAAAAATAGACACATTTTTGAGTTCTGACACTTAAGGCACATTAGACTTTAATGAAATCAAGTTATAAGACAAAATTCAATAGTAACTTGTATTGCTTTTTGATATACCATTCTAAGTATTAAGATAAAATTAAAGGAGCCCTGAGATTTTAAAAGTAAGATCAGGAGGTCCCGATGTATAGAAAAATATGTTATGATCTCAGTGAGAAAAGCCACTGAGATTGAGTAAACAGGTGATCTAATTTGCCTCAAAGAAAGTGTCTATTTCAAATGTTCAAAGAAATATCTGTTCCCAAAATATCATTACTTGTCTCATACAGAATCTTTTAGCCGTAAAGGTATAAAGTAACAGGAACATAGCTTTAACTGTGTTTCACTTCTGCATTCTCACATTTCTAGTTTACTATAGCTGCTTGAGCTTTTCACTCAAGAGTATCTACCATGAGAGCAATAGATTATGACTAATTTGGAGAAATTCTAAATAAAGTTAGCACTAAATGACCTGTATATAAATTTTAGCTATTTTGCTATTTCAGTAATTACTGAGTCTATATTATGAGCCAATCACTTTTGTATAATTTTATGTATACTTTCCTATACAGTAGGACATGGCAGAAAGCAAAACAAACAAAAGTCCCTGCTCATGTGGAACTCACACGGATGTCTTAATACTTTCCTTAAGTCATAACTTACTTGGACTGAACTTCCATTAGGACAGTGCTGAATTCTGCTATGCATAACTGTTCAATGTACTCTAATCCTTTTGTTTCATTGAAGTATTTCCTTTGAATAGTAGTGAAATTAACAGTCTGAAAAAATTTTAATTTAAAAATAAATTCTTAGGTTCCATGCACTTGCTCAAAGCTGGGTTTTTTGTTTTGTTTTGTTTTGTTTCTTTCCTTTATTTAGTTTTTGCTATATGGTGCCTGTGCTCACCAAAGAGAGAAAGAGGGGAAAGTGAGAAATCAGCTCTCTTGGAGGATGGCCACTCTGCTATCCCTTCTCCTCCAGTCTCCTCTCTGGATTTTGGGCACACACACACACACACACACACACACGATTCTCAAGCCTCCAGTTCTAGGATTTGAACCACCTACCTAGCCAGGTGAGATTCAGAGCCTTAACCTCCACGCCACCTGCTGGTCCTCAAAACTGCTTTCTAAACACATGCTAGTACATGGATAGGTGGTTTAAATGTTACATAAAGTTTATTTTTTAATGTTTTCAACATTTAAATAAGTTCTCTCAGTTATTTATAAAAAGAGAATGGTTATCCATCTTGTTAACTGATTTACTGATGGAAAAAATTAAAGCCGAAAGAAGTTAGTAACGTAATTTGTACAAGGTCACTGAATTACAGTACAGTCTGTAGCTCTTATTTTACCTTACTTATGACATTTACCTGAATATGTTAGGTAAAATAATAAAAATAAACATAAGAGGCTCTGCCTTTCCATAATTCTATAGCAACATCACACAGTTTTTACACTTAGCCTCTACCCTCTATCATAATTGAGAAAGGGTAAATCCTTAGAAAGTGCTAGTTGAGAAGATGAATACACCATTTCTACCTACCAAAGCTAGAAAATGCTATTTACAAGAGATAAATTTATTTAGAATAAAGAGGAAGAGATGATTCCACTATTTTTAAAGACCAAGGGGGGAAAAAGCATGAGGCTATTAGGTAAAAAGTTACCTACTTTGAATAAAATAATGAGTAAGAAAGGTAATATAACAAAGAACTGTGAAAAAGCTGATAAGACTGAAAAAAGAAACCATGAGCAAGTAGGGAATTTTTATGTGCCAACCATTTTTAAAAGTCATTTAGGGCCAGCCAGTGGTAGTTAAGTAAGCTGAATTCCACATTGCCAACAGCCTGGTTCAAGTCTCAGATACAGCAGCCTGAAAAACACCCTAAGTGACAGGTATATGGCCTGAAAAACATCCTGTGTGACAGGTGTACATGCATGCCCAAAATCCTAAAAGGAGAAAGAAATAGAGAAAAAAGAAAGGATTGCAACATGACTGTGGTAAGTGCTTTCTTACTCTCCTTCTCTCTGGTGAGTGTACATACACTCTGGAAAATTAAAAAAAAAAAGAAAAGAAAGTTATTTCATTTAATTTTCACAATAACCCTATGACAAAAGTCGCATTAATTATAATTTTCTTATACAATTCTGAAAAGTTCAGTACTTTTACTAACATCATTCAGTTTATATGTGCAGAACTATGAAGCCTATGTGTCTTCTATATCATATTGCTTCTGATTTAATAAGTCTTTTTATTATAAGTGGCAATTATTATGGTAATAATAATGTATGGTAAGTGGTATTATTATGGTAATAATACCAATATATATTTTCCCACTACCTGTAATACTTTTACCTCAGATATCTCATGGTTTACTACCTCACTCCATTCCATTGAACTCTGCCCAAACGTAACCCTAACAATGAGATCATCTCTGATTATTCTAAACATCAATACTCTAGGTAGTAAGTATTCTTATTGGGACCAGCAGATAGCGAAATAGTTATGTTACTGGAAGCCCACATAGTTAACCACTGTTCAAGTACTGGACCCGGCAGCTTAAACTCATGCTGGCTCATGTGCGTAACTGCCCAAAATACCGAGAGAAGAATGGAGGAGATGGTATTGCAGCATGCCCATCTCCCCGGTGATTTCTTACCTTCTGTCTCTGTCTCTGTCTGGCAAGCACACACATCCCATAGCAAAAGTCTCTCAAGTAAATAAAAAATAATAATTTTTAAAAAGGAAGTAGATACTTTTATTGTCCCTGATTTACTAATGAAAAACCTGAAACAGAAAGAAGTTAGTAGCCTAATTTGTATAACTTAGAGTTATAATTTGAAACCACAACAGTCTGCCTGCTCTACTCTTAAGCACTGTATTATTATACTGCCTTACATCTCAAATATACTGAATATATGTGGTTTTTGCCTTTGGAGACTTATCTGTGCCACATTACACATAAATCTGGTAAGTTTATGAGTTGCAGTATTCACGTCCTACAGCAAAAAGTATATGACATAGGATTAATTAGTCACAGTGCCTCTGCCCCCCAGAAATAGTGATTAGTCTAACACGTAGGAAACTGAACGAAATAGGACCGGTCAGCTTCCTTTCCTGAAATTCATAAATGGACACTGGAAGAAAGAAGTTCTTTTCCTTCTTAGTTTCTTAAACTGAGATGACATCAGCCAGGAGATATCAGCAAGTATTTTCTTAAATCTCATAGTGGTATTCTATCCGCAGTAGAAAAAAGATGATACTGAGGATGGGTACAGTGATAAAGATCCTCTCTTGATTGAACTACAGCCAGATTCCTCTGAGCCCTCTACTCAATCAGTGCTCAACATTGTTTCTAATCGCTTAAAGACCAATCCCTAGGAAAAGTCAAGGCTGCCAAAAAATTTTTACTGTTTATTTCAGCCATCATCTGAAGAAAGGGTTCCTGTCTCCCATCTTCTATGGGATGGTTAGGAGCCTAACTTGGGTAAGTGCCAGTTAGCAAACTGAGTTTGAGTTTCACATGGACCACTCCACCTTCCTGCTTTTGATAATTTTTCAGTACTCTGACTCTACTTCTCAGGCCACTGATCATTCCCTCACTATCCCTTCATTCTCTCTTTAAAATGTTAGTTTGCCTCTGGAACAAATTGAAGTTCAGATAGTATATTACTGAATAAAACCTGTCTTAACTATTTTAAATAGTATCTAGTTTTATTCACCTTTGGCAGTGAGGTAAGATCTATCCAAGGATTGACTTCCCAGCTATTTAAGTCAGTAAGTATCTTTTTTTGCTTAAGTAAAGTATTGTTAGGGAAAGTTGGATTTCTATTACTTACAAGCAAAAGACTTAGAAGGCCTAATCAGAACAATAACAGAAAAAAAAGCTGGGGATATACACATATATAAGGGTGATAAAAGGAAGTATAAAGCAATGAATGAGAGAGAACAGATAAAGAAGCTTATCTAATTGGAACAAAGTATTTAGAATAGGGACCATTTCTGGCAATGAGTTAAAGACTGCTGAACTACATTAGAATCTCTAAGAGGGCCACAACAAATCTTGCTTGACTGAAGATGCTGAATACACTAAGAATAAAAAAAGAACTCACACTGGATTCTAAATCTTAGCATGACTTCAAATGTGTGCAAGTAAAAGATAGTCTGAAAACAGAACAAAATATAGTATATTCTGAAAATAATTTGTACTCCTCAAGAATTATTCAAATTGCAATGCTGGCTACCTGGTTTGGAAACACAGCCCCTATTCTATTATACAAAACAGGGAGATTTGCTAGAGAGGAGAAACTACATGGTTAAAAGTACCTTCCTGAAGGGGAAAGCATTTGTTGGATAAGGTTCCACAGTACCTAGCTGTCACAGTCCCACAGATGGAAGTTAGAAGAGCAGGCTAATTAAGAGACAGTACATGTTACTAGGGGAAATTGAAACAATTCTGCAAAAGATCAAATTCCCTACAGGAAAAAGTATTCCTACATAGCTGCTATCCTCTCAGAGGAAAACTTCATTTTCAGCTAGTCTGATAGCACAATAAATAGTTTCCAAGAAGCTAAATATAAGAAAATTGATGCTTTCTCTGTCTTCTCTTGTAAACTCAGAAAAATCTCTTCATTACCTAAAACTTTTTTTTTCCTAAAGAATATCAAGATTACCAAACAATTAAGTAGATTCTCTGTCATTTTTATTATCTATATTAATAGCCCCTTAGATTAGGACTTTTGTGACTACTTTAGGGCACTAAATTTAAACTGCTCAAATCATTGTTCTTTATAATATTACAGAATGGATTGTAAATAAAACAAGATTTTGAAAGTTACTGTTGAGAACAAATATCACTTACCTTAAAATTTTCTGTGATCAAAGTAAACAACTTGGTTGAATTCCCCACAACACAAGCTGTATTTGACATTATTATTTCCAAAGGTGATAAAATTTTGAGTTTAGTGATCACCTGAAATCATGTGAATAAACAGTTTCTTAAATGTAAACTTAGGATGGTCTCTAAAACAAAAAAAAAATTCTGAAGAATAAGTACTTACTTCATAGACAAAATGACAACAACCCTAATTCCACATTTCAATTAAAATATATTTCTAATGGTGATATCTCTACATAATTTCTTATTTTAAATGTGTTTACATTCATTCACTGTACATTATTGTAGTATACAAAATGAGATTTTCCATCCAGAATACTGGATGGAAAACTGTAAACTGTACATTGTCTTAATCAAGGATATTATCACTTGTGTTATTGTCATCAAATAATTTTTCATTGTTTCTTATATATTTTGCTTCTTCTCTCCCACCCTCTCTCGATTCCTTACCACATACCCTGTGCCATTTCCCACCCTCTTCCCACACTATCTCTGGTATCCACAATATGCTTTCCATACCTTTTATTCTCCTCATAATTTAATACATAAAGTATTATAATCATAGGCTATGTTTTATTCACAAGTCTTTTCTTGTTTTTGTTTTCTTTTTGTTTTTGGAGATTTTTGCTATAGGGCATGTGCACTCAGCAGAGAGACAGAGAGCGACAGAAAGCAAGAAATAACCACCCAACGGGGATGGCCATGCCACAATCCCATCTCATCTGTTCTTCTGGGATCTTGGGCACACATGTACACACACCCAGACTGTTTTACAACATTGGGTCCAGAACTCGAACCATCCTTGGCCATGTGGGAGTCCAGCAACGTAACCGCTATGCCATCTACTGGCCCCAGTTCACAATAATCTTAACAGTTTAATCTCAAAAATTAATATGAAGGGCCAACAGGAGTCATGGTGATTAAGGCACTGGATTCCCACATGGCCACCTGCAGTTTGAGTCCTGAACCTGGTGGCTTGAAATTCATGCTGGGAACATGTGCATGGGTGCCCAAAATCCCAAGGAGGATGGAGGAGAAGGGATTGTGGTATGGTCATTCCCCTTGGGAAAGAGGTATTTTTTCATTTTCCCTCTCTCTGTCTCCCTCTGGCAAGTACACATCCCCTATGGCAAAGACTTTTAAAAAAATGAAAAAATTATTTTGAATTTATCAAATATGTGTACCCCAAATAAGACTTTTTAAATAAATGCTACTCAATATTTTATCTAGTTCCATCAAAAAATATAAACATATCCAATAGGGTAACTACAACGATATGCTCAGTATGACTGCCTTGGTACAGTTTAGAAGTTTAAAAGTACAGAAATACGGATTGAAAAAAATACTTTATGCCTTATGCTTTTCACAAAATAAGGTACACTTCTTACAACTTCTATAGAAGTTTTTTTAGAGGTTTTTGATATAGGGCACGTGTGCTCGCCAGACAGACAGAGACAGACAGAGAGACAGAAAGCAAGAAATCACCCCCCAGGGGGGATGGCCATGCCGCAATCTCTTCTCCTCCATTCTCCTCTCGGGATCTTGGGCACGCACGCACATGTGCCCGGCGTGAGTTTTAAGCCACCAGGTCCGGGACGAGAACCACAGTCGACTACATGGGAGTCCAGCGACATAGCCATTATGCTAACTGCTGGTCCCAACACAGAAGTATTTTTTATTTATGTATTTAAACAAACAAACAAAAACCAGGTCTTGAAGGCCAGCAGGTGGCAAGGGAGCTGAGGTGCCAGATCCCACATGGTCAACTCCATGGTTTGAGTCCCTGGACAGGTGGCTTGAAAAATCATGCCAGGAGTGTGCACCCAAAATCCCATGAGGAGTGATATGGTCATCCCCCTGGTGGGATAACGGTTTCAGGACCCTGCTGGAAATTCTTTCTCTCTCTTTTTCTCTCTCTCTTTCTGCTCATGGGAGAAATAAGTTAAAACATAAAAATTTACAACTTATCTAAGATAGCAATTTTCCTTAACTCTGGATAAATAAAATTCAAACACAGTTCAGTGGAAGCAACCCTCTGGAGATAGCTCTATCACATTTACTACCTTTATAATGAATCCAGGAATTATTAATTTGAAGATAGCACTTTTTTTAAGAGAGATTTTTGCCATAGGGCACTTGCGCTCATCAGAGAGACAGAAAGCAAGAAATCACCTCCCACCAGGGAGGATGGCCACACTGCAATCCCTTCTCCTTCATTCTCCTCTTGGGTTCTTGGATACGCACACATGCTTGGTGTGTTTTAAGCCACTGGGTCCAGGACTTGAACTGCAATCGACTAATGGGAGTCTAGCAATGTAACAATTACGCCATCTACTAGTCCCTGGAAAAATCACTTTTAGAAGCTAATATTAGCAATAATTTTGAAAAATCAAATAACAACAAAACACATTCTTTTAGGACAAAATACATCTAAAAAATAAAAATCAGAGGAAATGCTGGTACAATATACACAATGCTATGTGAGGCTGATTCACATGGGAGGCTTCTAAGTTCACATTGAAAGATCTTCCTGAACACTCCCAGCATACATGCCTGAATCCCAGGGCTGGCTGGAGCAGGAGTGGAACATGCATGGGAAAACTGTTGGGAGTACCTGTATCTCTCTCTCTCACTTATGAAAGAAATAAACTTTAAACAATTTTAAAAAGTAAAATAGGAACCAGCAGTTGGTGTAATGACTATGTCATTGGACTCCCATGTAGTTGACTGCAGTTCAAGTCCCGGACCTGGTTGCTTAAACTCACGCCGGGCACATACGCATGCATGCCCAAGATCCCGAGAGGAGAATGGAATGGAGAAGGGATTGTGGGGTGGCCATACCCCTGAGGGGTGATTTCTCGCTTTCTATCTCTCTGCCTCTCTCTGTCTTTCTGGGGAGCACACATGCCCTATAGGAAAAACCTCTCCCCCAAAAAAGTAAAATAAATAAAATTCAGATGTACAATAATAAATGTAAAGGTTTTAATTCAGAGTATTTACACTACTAGAGGAAGTATAAATAACCTTTATTCTACAAAAAGGAAACTAAATCAGGAAAGCTCTAACTTAAAATTTGCATATTTGCCCATGTGATCAACCATTTTCTAAGATTATTAAAACCCACCTTTGCATACGTTGTGTTGTCTGCAAACTGGGATAATATAATTTGTGGGCTTTTCAAATCAATACTTGCCATCCCTATTTCACCTCTGGCAAGTCCTCTTCCTTCTACAACAGCTGCAATAACTGATGGAGCATGTGCAGAAACTGCAGATGAGGATGTAGCTGTTACAAATGTTATAATAAAAAATGTAAATGTTAATAATAATAATTTAAAATTATTTTACATAAGATCTCAAAGCACCAGGTCAAGGCCATGGCAATTATTACCTGAAGAAACACCATTTTTTCACTCTCAGCAAGAAAAATAACCTTTCATTATCCAGGCTAAACAAAAAGGTTAATTCTCAAAGTATTTTGCTAAAGGTAACTTCACATTTAGAAATAATAAATTTATACATTCACTAATAAGAATATCAAACTTGATATCAAAAAACTTAGATTATCTACCTATTTAAATATACCTTTTTAAATTTGGGCAAATTATTTAATAAAACACAAAATAAAATGTAAACAATTTGACACAAGAATGGAAAATTATTTGTTGATGACATAAATGGTAGTATCTTTGACTTGACTGACATGCACAGCATGCATGCTGAGAAAAGCCATGTTGTAAGCAGTAAAGGACATACCATGATAAAAGTAAATCTAATTAATTAATTAATTAAGAGTTCCAAAAAGAAATGTAATAACTGTCCTGCCTAATTCAAGCACTGGCTGAAAGGATAAAATGGGAATATATAAAATATATGGTATAAAAATTAAACATTACACAACTATGAACTCCAGTTAAGAGCAACTTGTGTAATGTGGAAATAAAAGTTATAGTAAAATATCCAACATTTATTAAATACTTATTTTGTACCAAGAACATTCTGAGTTCTTTACTTGATTTAATTTATTTAATTATCACAATAGTAACAGTAGTTTTCTCCATTTACTTATAAGAGACTGAGGCAAGACTGAGGTAGACGGAATTTGCAACCAGGCAGCCTAATTCTCAGAATTAGTACTCTGACCAATATTATTGATTTTGAGAACTATGCATTACAAACTATAAATGCTCAAGCAAATTGTTCAGTCTTTCTGAATCTACCATTTCTCCATCTATAAACTAGAAATATCAAACTTTTTCACAAGGTTGTTATAAGAATTAAATGCAGGAGCCGGCAGGTAGTGTGGTGGTTAAGGGTGCTGGACTCCCACATGGCTGACCATGGTTTGAGTGCTGGACCTGGCGGCTTGCTTTCTCACTTTCTCTCTCTCTCTCTCTCTTTCTCTCTGTCTCTCTCACTTGCTCTGTCCCTCCCTCTGGTCAAATTAAAATAAAGAAATTAGTAAGTAATATATGAATAAATAAAGTTTAATAAAATATTTTTTAAAATTAAGTGCAATAATAGAGAAGTGTTGATTACCTAAATATAAAGTGTTATTCATGGATGAAAAAAAGCCAGAGTAAAAATAACTAAAAGAATATTTTCAAAGTAGTAAAATTATCTTTTATCAACCTTTTAATTTACTCATTTTCCCTCTTGCTTTCCCTCCCTCACCTAGGTTCCTTCTTTCTTCTATTCTTTTATTATAATGTCCACAAAAATATTTCTACATTTATACTGAGTCAGTAGTCCATTTAAGTGTTCATTTAAAAATTTATCCTGTATATATCTCATAAACTTTTTCCCTATAAAAGTCAAGTTATAAATTGTGATCAGGCTAACATTAGATCTATAGAAGGCAGCTTAAGCTCTGCAATAGAATATGACTTTCCTACTTTTAATTGGAAAATAGATACCAAATTCCAATGGAAATTCAGGACACTTAAGAAGACATTTTCCCTAAAGTCCTAACAGAAAAATTTATATCTCTCCATTATAAGTATTAGGTCATAAGAAAAGTCATAATGTATTTTTCTGTTTTTCTATGCAAAAATGTGTCATGATTTTCCCAACAACCCAATAATACTATAATAAGTATACTAGTGGATAAAGCTTTTCTCTGAATTTATTATTTCCTTAAAAAGGTAACCCTGAAGTCAAATTACCAGAACAAAGGGAAATCACCATTTCGGAGGAGGGAAGAATATAGTATTTAATTTGTAATACATGACACAAAACATTAACATGCATAAACAAAATGAGTTCTAAGAAACCAGTAACACACACTAACATTACAAGCAAAGTCAAGAACAATTGGACAGAGGAAAATGAAATCACATAAATGACTAATTAGGATACCTATGAAAGTGATCTATTATAACCTTAACAAATGAAAAAAGTAATTTCTTTGTAACATCATGTTATTCATGAATAAAAACACTGAGGTCTAATTCATTTAATTTTAGTACATGGGGGAACTCTCAAACACTGGGAAAATTTACTCCAATTGGGGAAAATTTATTCAAAAGGTAGATTTTTAATATACTTTTGCCATGGCAGATCCGGGTCATAGCAATTAATACAACAAAGTAGGCGGATAAACTCAAATTTATATATAAACATATTTACTACATAGAAAATCTAATAAACCACACATCCAAAATACTTTTGTATTTTTTTGTTGTTGTTAAAAAAGAAAACAACCCTAGGATGTTCACTAAACTCCATTAATCATAGGGGAGAATTTTTTTTTTAAGGCACTTCTATGGACTTTGAATGATTAAATAATTTGTTATGAATCACTTTTAAATATACCCTGTGATTAGTAAAAAATGTAAATATATGTGCTTTGTACTTATAGAAGCTCTGAGATGCAGCTCTTGTGCTCTTGTAATTCCAGCATCCTGAGTTCTCTCTGCAACAATATCTCCAAAAAGAGGCTCATAAACATTCAAATAAGGCAAAAAAGAGATTGGTCTGAAGGCTAAGTTCCATCATAAACAGCACCACGCTGAAAAAATACAAAGGAAAAAGACTATCAAGATGCATTAGGAGGCTGCGTCTGGCTCCCACTCTCACAGCCATTGCAGTACATTGAGCTCCATAGAAAAAGCTCCAGAGCAAGTGAGAGCCGGACGGGCACTGGGCAACTCTGTGCCTCGCGGAGGAAAAATAACTAAACATGGGCAAAGGAGATCCTAAGAAGCCGAGAGGCAAAATGTCATCACATGCATTCTTTGTGCAAACTTGCCGAGAGAAGCACAAGAAGCACCCAGATGCTTCAGTCAACTTCTCAGAGTTTGCTAAGAAGTGCTCAGGGAGGTGGAAGATCATGTCTGCTAAAGAGAAAGAAAAGTTTGAAGATATGGCAAAGGCGGGCAAGGCCCGTTATGGAAGAGAAATGAAAACCTATATCCCTCCTAAAGTGGAAACAAAAGAGAAGTTCAAGAATCCCAGTGCACCCAAGAGGCCTCCTTCAGCCTTTTTCTTGTTCTGTTCTGAATATCGCCCAAAAATCAAAGGAGAACATCCTGGCCTATCCATTGATGATGCTGCAAAGAAATTGGGAGAGATGTGGAATAACACTGCTGCAGATGATAAACAGCCTTATGAAAAGAAGACTGCTAGCTGAAGGAAAAATACGAAAAGAATACTGCTGCGTACCGAGCTAAAAGAAAGCCTGATGCAGCAAAAAAGGGAGTTGTCAAGGCTGAAAGGAGCAAGAAAAAGAAGGAGGAGGAGGAAGACAAGATGAAGATGAGGAAGAAGAGGAAGATGAAGAGGATGAAGATGAAGATGATGATGATGAATAAGTTGGTTCTAGCGCAGTTTTTTTTCCTTGTCTATAAAGCATTTAACCCCCCTGTTCACAACTCACTTCTTCTAAAGAAAAAAATTGAAATGTAAGGCTGTGTAAGATTTGTTTTTAAACTGTACAGTGTCTTTTTTAGTATAGTTAACACACTACTGAATGTGTCTTTAGATAGCCCTGTCCTTGGTGGTATTTTCAATAGCCACTAACCTTGCCTGGTACAGTATAGGGGTTGTAAATTGGCATGGGAATTTAAAGCAGGTTCTTGTTGGTGCACAGCACAAATTAGTTATGTATGGGAATGGTAATTTTTTCATCTTCATTTGTCTCTGATGCAGTTTATACAAAATAATTGTTGTTCTGTTAACTGAATACCACTCTGTAATTGCAAAAAAAAAAAAAGTTGCAGCTGTTTTGTTGACATTCTGAATGCTTCTAAGTAAATACAATTTTTTTTATTAGTATTGTTGTCCTTTTCATAGGTCTGAAATTTTCTTCTTGAGGGGAAGCTAGTCTTTTGCTTTTGCCCATTTTGGATCACATGAATTACTACAGTGTTTATCTTTTCATTATAGTTAGCTAATAAAAAGCTTTTGTCTACACACCCTACATATCATGATGGGGGTAATAAAAAATTGAGACAGTTTTCATCCATAACAAATTCTGAAATTTTAATCAGTTGATAGCAAATTTCACATAGCCCACTTAACATTTATAAAGTGAAGAGTAACCAGTCTACTCACAGCATGGGATTATTAGAATCAAACATTTTGAAAGCTGTCCTTGAAGGACTAATAGAAAAGTGTGTTCTAATCTTTACATGAGGACTCTATATTCTTTAACTCCCATTACCATGTAATGGCAGTTATATTTTTGCAGTTCCCACGTTAAAGAAGACTTTAGACTGTATCCCCAAAAGCGTGAGCTTAAAATACAAGACTACCATATTAAAGTTTTTTGTTGACCTTGGTTCCAGCAAAGGCTATGAAAGTGCTGGCTGTAAATGTCATTTCCCATTTATCTGAATATGGACTGCTCAGGAAACTTGACTTTCCATTAAAAGTATTTTTAATTAATTGGGCCAGCTTTTAAAACGATGCCACATTCTAAAGTAGGGGAAACATTCCTCTATTGTGGTTTGCTCCTTTATAAATCAGATAGACATGAAGAATGAAGACATAAACTTTGCATCTCAGTACGAATTAGCCAATTTATTCAAATTTGATTTTTCTTTATGAAACTCAGACTCATTCATTAGAGTCATGTTTATCTGCTTAACAGTTTAGGGAACAATTTGGCAATTTGTGGTTTAACATTATCGTCCTCTTAAAGTGCCTGTGTTTTAAAATAACCTTCTTGTAATTTTACATGCTTTTGTGATGGAGTGCTGTTTTGTTATATAATTTTGACTTGGATTCTTTCCATTTGCATTTGTTTATGTAATTTCAGGAGGAATACTGAACATCTGAGTCCTG